GAGCAAGAATAATAAGCAACCTATCAAACAAAAGTCAAAAGGGCCAAGATGTTATACTTGTAACAAGTACGGACACATCGGCAAAAACTGTAAAGTGAAGAATAACAAGAAACAAAGTGATAACTCTTTTGTAGCCGTTTTCTCAGCAACATCTAGCTATGATTTCGGATGGTATGTGGATTCAGGCGCAGCAATGCACATGACAATGAATAGGGCTTGGATTTATGATGAAAAGCCACCACCAATCAAAACTATCCGAGTAGCCAACAACAAGGAGCTGCGAGTCGAGTCCTGTGGTAAGGTGAACATTCATGTTAAAAGCACAAACGGATCTACAAACAGAATACAGGTAACAAATGTCCTTTATGTACCAGAGTTATCAACCAATCTTCTCTCAGTCAGTAACATTGTGAATAATAAATGTAATGTAAAGTTTGACTGTAAAGGTTGTTATTTGTATAACAAAGATAATGTTGAAGTTGCAATGGCAACACTTGTTAATAATATGTACAAGCTGAATGTTGTCTCCGTGCAAGCATTTCTGTCAACAACTAATGATGACTTTTATCTCTGGCATCAGCGACTAGCTCATCTGAACTACAATGACATGAAGAAGCTGAAAGACCACACTGAGGGTGTGAAAATACCTCAGACCAGCGAGCTAACCTGCATACCGTGCATCAAAGGAAAACAGGCAAGGTCACCATTTCCAAGTGAAGGTTCCAGGGCAAGTCAACTGCTAGAAATCATTCACTCAGATATATGTGGACCTATGGAGGTGAACTCTTTCGGAAATGCAAGGTATTTTCTTACATTTACTGATGATTTTTCTAGGAAAGTGTGTGTCTTTACTATCAAATCAAAGTCAGAATGTCTAGATAAATTTAAGGAATATAAGTCATATGTTGAAAATAGACTTAATACTAAAATTAAGACACTACGAACAGATAATGGAACTGAGTACACAAGTAAGAACTTTACTGATTATTTAAAGTTACATGGAATTAAACACCAAACATCAATCCCATATACTCCACAACAAAATGGTCTCTCAGAGCGCATGAACAGAACTCTACTTGAAAAAGCCAGATGTATGTTAATAAATGCTAATTTACAGAAAAAAATATGGGCTGAAGCAGTTAGAACAGCTGCATACATCATCAATCGTTCACCGACGCGAGCTCTGAACTATAAGACACCAGAGGAAGTATGGAGTGGCTGTAAACCTGACTTGAGTCACATGAGGATATTTGGTTGCCAAGCTATGGTGCAGATACCTCAAGAAAAACTGAAGAAATGGGACGCCAAGTCAAGTAAGATGATTTTTGTAGTATATTGTGAAGATAGCAAAGGGTACCGGCTACTTGATCCAAAAACAAAAATAGTAACTAAAAGCAGAGATGTTGTGTTTCTGGAAAATTCCATAAAACCAGATACAGTACCAGTTACCTTATCTGATGCTGAAAGACAAGAACATGTAAGCAGTAAGAGACTGTCTGAAAGTAGTGACTGTAGTACAGATTTGTCTACTCATACTGCTGTGGAAATGAGTGAAAATGATGATGATGAGGAATGTGTGCCCGAGCAGTCAATTGAAGTTCAGCAGCCCTCAACCATGACTCTCCGTCCACGTAACAGACCAATCCCAACCATGGAACCTAAATCATATATATGTATGGCCGATGTACCACAGACATATGAAGAAGCACTCTCCTCTGAAGACTCTGAAATGTGGATAAAGTCTATTAAGGAAGAATTGCAAGCACATGAGGACAATAGTACTTGGGAGATTGTGAAGAAACCAGACAATGCGAGACTATTAGACTGTAAGTGGGTGTTTCGTGTGAAAAGTGAACCAACAGGTCCTAGGTACAAAGCCAGACTGTGTGCCAAAGGCTTTGCACAGAAAAGTGGCATCGATTACACAGAAACATTCTCTCCGACGGTCAGGTATGACTCCATTCGCTTATTATTGTCTATTGCAGCCGAGAAATGCATGACTTTAAAGCAATTTGTTATTAAAACTGCTTTCCTGTATGGTGAATTGCAAGAGAAAATATACATGAAAATCCCTGAAGGATTGAATGTTGAAAATGGCATGGCTTGCAAGCTTATCAAATCCTTATATGGATTGAAACAGGCACCACGCTGTTGGAATGCTAAATTTAATTCAGTTTTAATTAAATATGGCTTTGTGAACTGTCACGCTGATAAATGTGTGTATGTGAGTTCTAATAGAGAAGCTCTAGTATATCTTTTGCTTTATGTGGATGATGGATTGTTATGTTCTACAAATCCAACAATAATAACTGAAGTCCTGAATGATCTTCAGAAAGAATTTAATGTTAAGATTTGTGAAGCTTTGAATTTTATTGGTATACAATGTAAGGATTACATTTTCATACACCAAAGAAAATATATTGAGAAAATGTTATCAAAATTTAACTTAGATAATGCTAACCCTAATAGTATACCAGCTGATCCGCATGTTACTTTACAGAAAAGCACAGTGCTTGAGGATAAAAAAATATTTTCCTTACAGAGAGGCAGTGGGATCGCTTATGTTTGCTGCTATAGTCACCAGACCAGACATTATGTATGCAGTAAGCACTGTGAGCCGGTATCTCAACAGCCATGATCAAAGTCACTGGAATGCTGTCAAGAGAATATTTTTTTTTTTTTTTGTGAGGGGAAAATCATCAAATGACTTCTCCCGCCCAGGGCCGGGCAGGAGGGAGTGTCAGACTCTTACTGACTAAAAACCCCCCTGTTCCTTCTCCTGCTCTGTGCCGAGGTCGCGGTACCTCATTGCGCTTACCCCGCAACCCCGGCTGAACATCAGCCCTTTAGGGCCCCGTCTGTGGTGGTCTATTGGCTCTTTGAGGCGCGCGCGGAACGCTACGCGCCGTACGCTCGGGCCTGGTTCTGGTCGGGCGGCGAGCTGCCCTTACTCGCCGACCGCAGGCCCGTGCTTACGGTGGCCGGAGATCGTCCCTCGATCCCCGACGCCCGTAGTGTCGCCAGTTGCGGCTGCTGGGGCGTGAGGAGGAGGATTGCTCCCTCACGCGGGCCGCCTCTCTCTTTGCGAGCATGACTGCTTCACAAAAGGAGGAGACGGCGTCCCAGTTCCTCTCACTCTGCACCATGGCCTCGACTAAGGCCGGGCGCGAGAGGTCGCCGCCGCCGATCACTTCCCTGAGGATACGGCGGTGCTCAGCCCAGGCAGGGCATACCGCTACCGTATGCTCCACCGTATCCTCTAGGTGGTCCTCACAATGACGACACTCGGGCGTTTCCTCCCGCTGAATCCGAAACAGGAACCTACCGAAGCCCGGTAAGCACCTGCGTCAGGCGGAAGGTGAGGACGCCGTGGCGTCTCCCAAGCCACTCCTCAAAGAGGGGTCTTACCGCTGCTATGGTAGCGTGCCCGGCCCTCGGTTGCGACAGTCGTTGTTTCCATTCTGCCATGAGATCTCGCCGGAGCTCATTCCGCCACGGCATTTCCGGCAGAGGATCTTCGCCCCGGCGAAGGATCTTCGCCCCGGCGAGTCAAGAGAATCTTGAAGTACTTAAAAGGGACACTGTGTTTTGGCCTCTGTTACAGGTCAAATGAAAGTAACACTCTGGTATCCTATTCTGATGCTGATTATGCCAATGATCCTGTGACAAGACGGTCTACCACTGGATATGTTTTTATGAAGAACGGGGCAGCAGTGACATGGAACAGTCACCTTCAAACGACTGTCGCGTTGTCCACCACTGAAGCAGAGTTTATGGCGTCATGCTGTGCCACCAAAGAAGCTCTCTGGGTTAGACAGTTATTGTTAGATATAGGTCATTATAATCAAGATTGTATTACACTAAATATTGATAATCAGAGTGCTATATGTGTGATTAAAAATTCTGAATATCACAAAAGATGTAAACATATTGATGTGAAATATAATTTTGTAAAAGAAAAGTATACTGAAAAGATAATTGATCTCAAGTATATTAGTACTGATAAACAGTTAGCTGATATCTTTACTAAACCTTTGTCTAAAGTTAAATTTGAGTACTTTAGAAATAAGTTAGGTTTAATTGAGAACCCAAAGGAATGTAAAACCTAAGAATGTTTGTCTTTTATATTTCAGTTCATTTATGTTTGCAATTCAGTTGTTATGCTTGAAGCTCTGTTGATTTAGTTTAAAGTTTTGTATTGGGTTTAATACATACTGTAATCATTTGATTAATATGTACCCAATATAATATTGTGATAAGATGGCAGTATGCACAAAATATGTTTCTCTATGTATGTAAAGTTAGTAGAACAAGGCTAAAATTTAGAGGGAGTGTTACATGTTTTAAATTTGTCGCCTTTTTCGACTACTATAGTGTAGCATAGATAATATGAAATGGTCTATGACCACCGTTCTATACTCTGTGCCTTTTGCGCTTGTCATCTTTCTCTTTGCAATACGCATCCATACAAACATGTTGTAAATTCTCAAGCTACTAAATAAAACTATTTATATCTTTCAAATCGTCGTTTGATTCATCACACATATATAAAGATAAACATTTAACAAACACTATCTTTTTCTATTTCACCATTCTATTAAACGCTGAATTATATGAATACAAATTCGACTTGAGAAAATCATTCGCCAATCAAGAGACCAAGTTAACCCCGGGTTCCGGGCTCTAGCTAGGCCGACTGCAAAGTAGGAACAGGAGTTGATTTTAGTCAGTAACGGTCTGTCCCGAAAAAGGCCGGAGATCAGCTGAAAAGAATCAGCTGGCTAATCCCTAAAACTATACCTACGTAGAACTTTTACTCAAATTGTATCGATACTCGTTAAATACTTAGTCGGCACAACCCTAGCAACGGCAGCCATCTTATGCGACATTTTGGATTGTAGGTAGGCACCATTTTTTCGTAGGTATTTCAAGTCCATATATTTCCTATGTCAATGGGACTGACAATCAAAAATAACTTCAAAGATTTTGGGACCTGTCATGTCAACGTCAAAATTAGTGTCACTGTCATATCACAGGATGGCACCAGCAGTGCTCAGTATTGACTACTGTCTGTCAAGTTCCTGATTACCTGTTTCGTTAGTTTATTTTAATCTATATTTCCATCTTCTCTTCTGTACAGTAATATCTATTATTAATAATAATCAAGACGGATGCTTCTATCACCTGTGCACTTTGGTAAATGCTTCTCTCTTTTTCTCTCTCTATATATATATATACAGATAAATATTTGGTGCGATAGATAAAGACAAAGGACACCTGTTTTTTTCCATCCTTAGTAATTGCAAATGAAAACATCTTAGGCACGCGTTACATTTAATGTGATTGTTTTTATTATATAAACGCTCAACAATAAAATAGTCTTTTTGACGCACTCAGTCAACTTGAACTGCATTTCCACCTCGAGCCTATAAAATTACTACTTAGAATATTGTCTTCTTAAGGGAATTAAATAAATAGAACATATCTTTAATTACAATTTTCAGGGTTTTTTTAAATGGCAGTTGGCTTTGAAATGTAATGGGGTGTTTACACAGCAAAAAGGAAACTTCAGATTTGCATCCCAATGTGTTTCGCGTTGTAAATATTGACGAAAATGGTGCCGATTTATGCTCTGGTCAGTTAGAGATTACAGAGTCTGATATTATTTTGTATAGAGAAGGCAGAGACTCTACAGTGTGGCCTTTACATTCATTGAGAAGATATGGATTTGAAGGGGACATATTCAGCTTTGAATCAGGTAGCTGTACATTTCTAAATGAAATTGGTACAACCTCATCAAATTGTGTTATTTTGTTTATTGTTCCATGTTCAAGTTATTCAATTTCATTGCTTTATTAAATTTCAAAAAGCAATTTCAATTGATTATAATAAAATGAGTTTAAAGTGTAATTAAAAATGTTTCATGTTACTAAAGAAAGATATGGAGAGAGTAATTTGATTTAACTTTTGCTCTCAACTTAGTTTAATTGCAAAATACTACAAATGATACAAAAATTATTTTCAGGTAGAAGATGTGAGACTGGAGAAGGAATATATGCATTTAGGTGTCGAAGAGCATCTTTATTATTTCGCACACTACAGCAACAAATTCAATTAAGAAATGTAATTCATGATTCTGTACCATATCCTGTATCAAGATTAACTCCTTCACCACAAGGCAGGCAAACATTGCAGGCAAGTGTAGTGCATCGTTCTTCTATAGATAATGGCCAGCCAGATAATACACGACCAGTAATGAACAATAATTTACCAAGCATTATACCAAATGCACAAGTAGCAAGAAATGTTTCTCAGTCACCTAGATCACCGTCAAGTGCAGATATTTTGGAAGTGATGCCTCTATATCCACGATCTCAATCCAGTACAAATCAAGTCACCAATGTATATCAATTAAGAGATTTTAAGAGGGAACCCAATAACAATCAGGGTGAAAGTGCGCTGGAGAGCCGACCTCCTGATAACAGGCATGTTTATTCAAATGATATCAATCGAGATTTAGCAATCTTGCGTAATACACTGCGGCAGGAAACTGCCTTGAACACAATGAGGGATATTGAAGATGAAACCAGATTCCTTGAAAGTCGATATATGAATGATAATAGTTCCAATAAACAACTTAACAGTCCTTTGTCCCCAACACTGAGTAACTCTAGTGAACATTATGCACAATTGAGTTTAGAACAACAACAACAACAACAGTATCAACAACAACAACAGTATCAACAACAACAGCTACTGCTGCTGCAGCAGGAATCTGCCAGGCTGTATATGAACATTGTCCCTATTGATTCTAACCTACCAGATGTTAGTAAGAATGATACAGTCCCTACTACTCCATTAACTCCTAAACAAGTAGAATATTGCAATTTAACTGTGGGAAATAAACCAGAGATATTAAATACATATGCAAACTTGTCTCTAGGTGATCTGGGTGAAAATGTAAAAAATGCCAAACAAATATTAAGTTTCTCTGCACCAAGTGAACACAACCAAAAATTTTCCGAGTCTGATACATTTACATCCATGTCACCAGTAGAAGAACTGGAAGTTAACTACGCGATATTGGATATTGACTCTAATAAGGAAATCGTTAAGATGACGCGAGATTTAACTTCGCCGGAGAGCCAGTCCTTCAGCAGTTCAAAAAATGAAAGTGTCGCTTCATGTTCATCTCAGCCTCGCGGTCGTCTCGTATCACAGTGCAGTGTTGAAAAAGTGAACCTTGCTAACAACTCCACGGCTGCACCGTCAGCTGCCATAGGATACACTACTATTGATTTTGATAAAACAGTTGCATTGACATCCGTAGCTGCTGGAGCAGATTGTGATGGAGACGGTACTCGGAAAACCAGGCATAATTCATGTAATATTATTTGCGGAAGTCCAGCCACAAATGACAAAAATAAAGTAAATAGTTAAAAATGTAAGGGCTACATACATTTTATGGACTAATTGGAATACTACTATCCAGCTGCATGAGTTCAATTTATTTTCTATTTGTGTATACAAATAGATTTGCATATTTTTATTTTCTGGTGTGACTAATTTGTTTTTGTATATAAATATCCATTACATATATGTATAGTATATATATATATATATATATATATATAAGGGTGCAAAATATTCTTTTATGAAAATCAATTAGTGGAGGTAATTGAAAATGCCTCATAAATGATGTACGGTCGGCCTAAGCATTGACATTAAACATGCTTGACTAGTAGATTTATTAAAGGATAGTGGAGATTTTGACATAACTTATGAGCTGGTAAACTGTTATTTAAAATTAATTCAAGAGTATAATAAAAGATAGCAACAACCCATGGTAAGTTGACAGTGCTTTTTGCAGTCACAAGTGTGCTGAGAAATATTGTAGTGGATATATGTATTTAAACACATTCACTAAAAAACCTAAAATGACAGAATATTCATGCCTGGAAATTAAAAAATATGGTTATGTTTATATGTAAGTATGTACTTTGTATTTATTTAGTATGATATCTAAATAACATAAATTATAAGTTAGGCAGTCCCCTATAATAGGTAATATAATCATATAAATGGAATTTTGCTATGAATGTATACTTACATGTCTTTAATGTTCAACAATAATGTGTTCAGTGCACACATTTATTTCTAGTTCCTGCTTACAAGTGAACATGTTGCATTTAATTGCCAAAGTAAGTTTATTCAAAAATACTAATTCTATGTAGCCAGTTATTGATACAATTAAATAATGTGTATGTGCATCTTAGTGAAACAGATCCAAATTGTTTATTGTTACATAATAGATTAATACTAATCAGATATACAATAACAATGTATGACTTAGAATAAACCAAAGCAAGTACTTTTATGTATAAAAAAATGCCATTGTGCAAGTGTAATAAGTGGCTGTTGTATTAATATTAAACCTCCATTGTAATTGATCTCTATTCTTTATCAAACACTACATTAAGAGGCTGTGGAGGCTGGCAAAGATTTACCATATCTAGACCACAGGAATTCTCAACATATAAAAATCTAAACCAAGATGTATCACCTATTTTTAGAGGCTAATAAAGATAGTATAATTATTTTTTGATGTATGTAGTGGTGATAATGGTCAACAATGTATTTAGTGATTAATAAAATGTGCGATTTGAGATTATTGACGAATTAGTTGTAATAGTAGATTAGGTGCTTTATCTGTCTAAATATAAAGTCGAAAAGGGGTGTAAATATTACGTAATAAGTAAAAATATGTGTCATGTAGTTGTTGATCTTTGTGTAGGGCAAATGGCAGGCTGGTTTTAACACATTCAGTGCCCCCGACGCGTATGTGCGTGCGAGGAAACGCACATACGCGTCGGGGGCACTGAATGTGTTAAAAATGTAACAGAGTACATTAAAAGTACCTAATAACTTTATAGAAGTAGTTTCCACAAGCGTGAGTTGAATTGTTACACATCAAATTCCCCCTTAACACCGCATAGTAATGCATATTTTCCTTTCACGACAAAAAATACGCTCAAATTTGCGTAATCAATATATTCGAATGCGCAAAAATAAGCACCTGATTTTTATATTCATTACCGCTAGCACTGATTTTTAACTCAAATGAAAACGTGCATTACTTTTAAATAGATGAATTTACTATTGTTATCATTTCAGATTGATGTATTTATATGTATGAATGAAAAACTAATTTATATTTACTTCATACATTAAAATTAAAGAAAAATATTTTTTCAAATTATATAAATGAAGGAAGATTATAAAAAGAATTTAAGTAATCATTTTATCCAGTAAAATTTTGTTTCAATTATGACTACACTGGAAAGTGGGAATTCAATTTTAATGAAAGAAGACTGTGTAACGTCAATATTTCTTCGTCCATCTGCTGGAGTATTTTTAATTTGCAAATGGCCTCTTTTGGGGGAGAATTTTGTACGCAGAACGGTTATAGATATGGTCTAACGCACTATTGGATAATGATTGCGTTTAGGAGTAGTATAGTTACTTTGTACCAAATACAAAAACCATATTATATTTTGTTTAAGTAGCATGTAGAATAAATTAGAAGATAAGTTGTTATAGCGCTAAATGTAATTTATTGTCGCTTTTGTGAAACTGATTGATGATCATTATCAGTCATATTTTATATGAGTCTTAATTTTGTGGTGCAAGTAGAGAGCCTTTCCGAGTGACGGTATATAGACCGTCTGGCGCACCTTGGGTTATCAACCTTGCCATGATATTGGTTGATCGACCAATCTCTACACCGTGACATGAAATGTTCATGTCTACGTGTCGCTTTAAAAGTTTAACGAACCAAAGACTTTTATATCAGCTATGTTCATTTTGTATTTTTTTTATTAAGTATTTGACTGAACTGTTCAAAGATTGTAAGACGTAAGGATGAGGATGTGGTTTAAATTTAATATTAGGTACATGAAGCGTGCCATTTGGGGCCCGAGACTGCTTGTTTACATGTTCGTCATTCCGACGCGCTCGCCGATTGCCATGGCGGACTGGCCCCTGAATTAGATAACTATTTTAAGAGTAGCTACCTATTATTATATTAATAAAAATATATATTATTTTAGAGATGTTGTGTATTTAAAATTATGTTTAGGTATCAATGTACCTAGAAAATTATATTGAAATATTGATTTGACGGTTTAAGAATCAAATGTTTAAGAATATAAGTTCTTATCGATATTTGTTGTTTTATTTAATCTGTGAAGTGTGAAACCAATGATTTGTCGTATTGTAAGGTACGATAAACCTATTATATTTGTTTTGACTAATTAATTAACGGTGTACTGTAAAGCAAATAGTTATATTTTTATAACAGGCTAAAATAGGGGTTTAGCATAATGGCCTACAACAAACCAAGGCTGTGATGCAATTTTATGTTATACAGATTTATAAATAAAAATTTTAAATTGCAACAATACGTATTTTTTATTAATATTGTAAATCAAATATAATTATTGTACAGGTACTTATTAGGTAAAGCTTAATTACAATTAATAATATTAGCATAGTTACGTAATTAGTATCACAATAGTCAGGGCCTGAATGTTGCTAGATACACCACAACTGTTGCAAACGTCACCAAATTCCATGAGCAGAGTAGCCGAATGCCATCGTCACCTGAAAAAGGACTTTATTAAGAAATCACAAGCATCAAATTTTGTTACTCAATTTATTACATAGGTACTACCTATACCGTATATAGTATACCTATCAATACCTACTAAGTATTCAGATGTAAGGGTCAAACAAGGGGGCGCGAAACATTTATCATGGCGGCTTTTCAATCGAATTACTGTACTAGTATAAAGAAAGCTGAAAAGAAGATTCACGTTTAATTAAATAATTATATTACCAAATAATTATTATTTACGCATTGGTAAAATTTCCTTTAATCCTAATTTAAAGGAGGTGCTAAAAGTAGGTAGCTCATATTATTACGTTAGATCACTTACTAAATAAGTAATAACTACATTCAATTGGTGCTATTTAGAATATAATTTTTTTACAGTTAGCGTTTTAAGCCATTTGTGACATCTTATATACATAAAAGAAAGTCGTGTTAGTTACTCCACTTATAAGTCAAAAACGGCTGAAACGATTCAGCTGAAAATTCGTAGGGAGGTAGCTAAGAACTGGGAGAAGGACACAGGATAGGATAAAGTAGATAGTGTAGGTTAGGTAGAGTGGGGTAGACAGGATAGTGGGGTACGGTAGGTAGAGTAGAGTAGGTAGTCAAATAACAGGAGCGACGCTCGAACTCTTACCCGCGTGTATATCTTAGGATGAATAACGTGAACATAATAAGTCTGCAAATTTCCCCTTTTTAAATGGATTCCAAACCACATTTACATTCTATAGCAAATATATTGTAGAAGTTAGGCAGATTGACATATCAGCCATTATATTTTATAAAGAAAACAAACTTATAAAACCATTCTATTAGTAAAGGTACAAGCAAATTAGTGAGGCCACAAGTATAAAAAACTAGTCAGCCATTGGCCATTAAGTATTATTGTTTTTTATTTTGACTAAAATTTATTAAACTAGTTACCTACTTTGCGAATGTAGAATATTATTATATTCTTTGGTGCAGATATAATGATACAAGCGAATAGAAACATAATTATTATATGAATTATGAATAAAACACCAAATCTTTCCTGGTTTTGGGGTAGCAATTTTGGTGTAGTCGAGTATTATCATAAATAGAATACTTTTAAATATATTGTCAAATTATTAACATAGGTAATTATGTATCACTGTGTGTAAGTGAAAAGCATGGCCAATCGAAATTTTAGTTAAACAGTTCCAAGTAATTTCGATTTAAAATTTTAATAAAATTTGGTTTGTAACTTTAACCCAAAAAGTTAATAAGAGTCTTGAGCCAACCAAACAGCCATACATAAATATCTGACACATAGTTCACATAACATGTAATTTTGTTAGGAAGAGTTTATTCGGGCATATGGGCGGAGCCAGGATTCTCGGAAGGGTAAAATATGTCTGCACGAAATATTTACACAAATTAATTTATAAGGTAAAAGGTACATGTATAGTTATTACGTTTACGATAGTAAATACATAAAATATTGATATATAATTTAATACACATTAAGAATACAGTATTGCTTGTTTATCAATAACTTCAGTTTGGTATTATCGTAAATTGATTTGTGAACAGCAGAGTTTAAAATGTGTGGACTGTGTTCTTGCGTTCCTACGGAGTTTTTCTATGACTTACTGTAGTTTTGCAAGGAGTTGTGCGTAGGATCCGGCTCGGTCGTATTGTCCTCGGGTAGCTCAGTGGTGGACGACGCGTCGCGGCCTGGCGTCGACCATTACCAACAACCAACGTTAGTACACAGACAACACACAGTGGCACACACTAATCTACGACCAGCCACCATACATACTTAAGTTCTCTACCTTTAATTTACCAACGTTTACAACAAAGCATTGCTCCAAGAATATAACAAATTAAAATCCTACACTTTATTCATTGAAAATGTTCATATTACTCTATCAAAATGTACATGTGTTATGTTTACGGTTGCAAAAAAACAACAAACTGAATAATAACTCAACATGGCTTGTAATAAGTTGGAAATATATTCATCCAAATTTTAGGATACGATAAAGGTTTTGAACTGAGAGCTTCAAGCGAATGCTTTAGACAATGTAGCATTCCATTTTCCAACTTATTACAAGAAGGCAATGAGAAATGAATTCAATCTGCCACTTTCCTTTTTTTTTCTCTAAAAGCGAAATGCTGGATCGCCATGCTATTGAATCTATTACAAAACTCGTATGGATAATTGTTATATGTGCGGTCTTAATGTGAATGTTAAACTGTTTGCTGGTATAAATGAATATGTAATGCAAAGTTACTGGCACTTTGAATAATCAAAGGACACAACGTGAAGACGTTCCAAAGCAACACTTGTGCGACATAGGAAAGCAAGTTGATGCTTGCTGATTTTTTTTCAAATAAAAGTATGTGTTGGTCTTTTTTTCCTACGTACCTATATTTATACACGTACTGTTACATACCTGGAGCCACGTAGGACTCGATGACGACATATCGCTTATGTTCTAAATCGGTGTACCATAGTTCGCATCGTATTTCACCCCCGTCTATGTCTGCTGTACTTACAGTTGCGTTAGCGTGTATGTTATAAAATCCATCGTTATCACTGTCTTCTATGCTTTTTGTTACATTCAGTTTTTCCCTGAAATTATAAACATGTCTTATGTAGAAATACAAAATACCCGACCGTGTAAATGAACTAAGGCCTACTCATAGACAACCCGTGAGAGTTATCTGCTAGACTATAGATATTTTCCTCAGAAGACGGTTTGCCATCTCCAGTTCTCCACGTTTGGTAGGTGGGTTGGACATCGCAGGTTAAAAGGATCAGATTTATGAGAGAGGTCTGTCGTCCGGTCCCTGATACAATGTAGTATCTTTGTCGACACTAACACAACCCGCCGGGCGGTGATCATCTCATATGATAGGTTCTCATAAGATGAGATGTAAAGTATCATCGTTATTAGTTATACCTATCACAAGATTAAAACAATACAATATTTACCCTTGAAATGTGATGCTCATATCCGGCATAGGCGCGATGTCTTCAGTTTGACATTCTATTAACAACATGTCGTCCTCTTTATCCTCGGCGTCATTATTTACTAATGTGTAGTTTATTTCCGGGCCTACTACTAAGGCTGGAAGAAAATAATGAATATTGAAAAAAAATACTGCACCGTTAGGGTCTGATGTGTATCATTGTAAAATATGATGCATCCACGACATAATTATGAGAAAGATGGGATGCATCTTTTTGAGAAATCTAAATCTATTACACACACATTTTGCATAGCGATCAATACCGCCTCATTAATTATGATTGTCTGTTTTGTTTGATACTTACAATAAACAATGAGCTTTTCATGTTTCCTTATCTCGTCGATGTTCGATACTTCACACTCATAAGTTCCAGAATCCACAGGGTTCACATTCAATAACACGATGGAGTCATTTTCTTTTATCTCTAGAATATGTAAAACATCGTAATTAAACTTCTGAATTAAAAGACAAGTAGATATTTGTTGATGTGTTAGGTATTTGTGTCTGTATGCTTTGATGTTTATTCTAATACTAAATATTAGGATAGGTACTGGAGAAGGTTAAAGATTTTATTGACACAATTGAGATGAGGAAAATATAGGTAAGTATTTATTTCTAAATCAGAGCTGAGCTTCAGACTAGGAAGGGTATTTAAACTTTTTTTAAGTCCTTTGCGCATGACAAGTAACAGTTTTTATTATGACCTAAAATAGAGTAATTTTTGCCAGAACAGAGCTCGACTTTATGTTATCTTAACGGCTTCCTATTTGTATCTTCTTTTTTCATATCTCAAACAAAGTACAGACCTATCTGGCTAGTGTTATCGTGACGGACTTGAGTCTCTGGTGTATGTCCAGCTATTCGTTGATATATGAGCTTCTTGTCGTAACTGGAACCTGACTGCGGCGTCCACCACCACTTTATGAAAAACGCGACTTCCTCTTCACCGGCATTAAGTTCATACTGACATTTCAATTCAGCATCTTTACCGACTTCTACAGCACTGGGTACCTCAAATTCCTTTATCGATAATTGTTGGCTGCCTGAAATTTAATTTTAGATTCCAAATTAGAAAGTAAGTAAATAATAACAATAATCTTTTAAGGAACAGAAGGCGTACCATGACGTGTTAAAGCTTCATTTATAGCTCCATTCCTCACACACAACACGTCATGGTAGACCTACAGATGTCACACGCTGAGCGCCCGAATTTGACAAATGTACCCAATTATGTAATTATTCTTATTCCTTTCGTTTGGTGCATTTTTTAATACAATAAAGTTCATGGTATATTATAAGTATTGTCAAAATAAATGTAGTGTGTATGTACACACCTATTAATTATTATTTCAGCTACGAAGAAAGCCATTTCGGAAGGAAAGTAGGTAGTGATTAGCTTTAGCATTAGCTTAAATAGAAAACGTGCTTAGAATGTAGTAGGTACATAAATCCAGAACAGTCTTATTAATGGTTTACGTTCAAACAACGCTAGGTCATATTCGTCACAGTTGGCAAGCAGATTGTTGGTCGCAGTAAAATGTTATGGCGTTCCTTTGAAACTGCTCAACCAAGGTTATCTGTCAGTGGGCCTAAGGTGAAGTTCAGCACAGATTTAGATTAGGCAACCATTGGTACCCGATCGATCAGTAGACGCTGAATATTATACATTAATCATTTTGTATAACAACAAATGATTAGGTAACTGTAAATATTATACAAAACAACGATTTACACTATTTACATATCTACCGATTCATGTTTTGGCTACAGTTCAGAGCGTCTAACTAGTGTAGGTAGTACCTATTTTATTGTTGTTGCATTGAATATAAGAATTGAAATTGACGGTCAGCAGGATTACGATCTTTATGATAGTCATCCGCGGAACTACTAGGGTGGACAATAAATCTGCATTATCTAATAGTTACGAACACACGATGATTATTCCAGATTTATTTTTAGTAGCCACATTGCTCACCCGCTGGAGTTTAAGCAAGAGCGACCTACGCTAATAATTTTGATTTTAGAAGAAAAAAGCGAGGTCGCTTGTTTGTTAGATTTGGATTATTTAAGATATGAAAAGCGCGAAGTATACTAGCACAAACATCGCGTTGGTGGCGGAGTGGCGGTGCACTTTAAGTTCCGATGAACCAACTTCCGCATATAAACATCTAACGAGGTCGCTCTCCCATTATGTTTATAATCCCAAAATGTTTGACTTTGTATTCATTCCTTTATAATTTTTCTATAAATAATTTGTTATAGGAAATTAGGTCATATCCCAATGAATAAGCGACTATCTTGGCTAACCTTGAGGCGGTCCGGGAATGTTAAAAATACCACTGCGACCAGAGCGCACGCGGTGTGTCGATTTGAACTATTCAATAAAATACCAACCTAGTTCAGTAAACTACAAACACGCATCTATACTAAAGAAATATAAGACATTAACATGTGAATCACATCAGGCACATGACAAACCCCAAAGGAAATAGATATTAGACAGATATTAGTCGCGTAGAGCTCGCACAAAAGCAAATTGCATACAAAAGTTTGTCTTCCTGTGGTGTTATGATTGGATGAGTCACGAGAACTAGATCAGGGATCTGAACTATACCAGTGTAGAGACATGTTTAGAAGTTACATGTACAGTGTAACTTCTACACTGTGATCAGGTAGTGAGTCTGCAATTTATCCTGTAGCTATTACAATAGGTAGGTACGACCAAATAAAGCCCTTATAAGATAATTTACAATTATGACCAGTGATGTAAAATCTATAAATTTTTAAATTCTCACACTATAAATTAATATCAATAATCAATAAATACTCCCTTAAGGTGAATTAACGATCTGATTTATATTTATATAAAAACACTTCTATATCTATATAAATCTAATGTAATCACAGTAAAACATGAAATATAAACAATGGAACAAAATTGATATTGGGCGGGGTGGCAGTGACTCGAGACAGAGACGTTTTTCAGAGGGATGGTGATAATGACAGAGGTAGATCTTGCAGAGCCTGGGCCGCTTACCTGCGAGCAGGCAGAGCAGCAACGCGCACGCGCGGAGCGGCGCGGCGGTGGACATGGCGCGGGCGGGACACACGCGTGCGAGCGACGCGCCGCCTGCGACTGACTGCCCACCGCTGCCTACCGAGCGCCGCCCGCCCTTCGAACTATCAATTGGCCTTGAGTCCGCACAAGATAACCACTAAATTGTACTCAATGATACGCGAAGAAGTAGCAGGACCTCATTGTTGTGTCAACTACGTGCGAAGGTAATCGCCACAACATCCATATAATGTTTGTCACATACGAAAGAAGGTACCTTCTTATACTCAACTCAATCATTTCGTCGATGTGTCCGCATCTATATACCTACATAATACAGATACGCCTTGCCTTAAACGAAGGCGACCTATCCGATCACTTTATTAATGATTCTGGACGTCCGCAATCTGCATACTTTGCTTGTACCTACCTGCTAACTATATCTAGGTAGATATTATATGGTACTATTGTTTAATAATCATAGTATTAATTTAAGATTGATTATACATAGTTACATACCTTTTAAGGCAATTGGTATTTTAACTGTGCAGTGAGCAGTAAAATGAGGTGAAATAAAATGAAAATAAGTACATATTAAATAAATATATTTGATAAATTATTTATTTATACATTTATACTTATAAGTTTATAACTTAGTTATATATTTTAATTATAAATTATAATATACAAGCATCCTATGCCTACAGCACACAATCGATTGAAAGATTTGATTCCTCGTTGTGCATTACTCTTTTACGTTTATTGGAATGTGCTACATTAGTGACACATCTTCACAAATGTGTTTATTTTCGATTTCTTTTTATTTCACAAATCTTACCTATTACAGACGATAATCCAAGATATAATAATATGTCAGATTAATGTTTAAATTAAACAATAGAAAACGTTGTTTACATAAAAGAGTACGGGCGTGATAGATTTGAATAATTATGTATAGAAATGTAGGCATGGTCTTCTATAGATTAAAGTGTGAGAGCAGGCGGTCGCTGAAGGTGATGTGTTTGAAGAGTGAGGGGTGTGAGTTGGCGCGGGGTGGGGGCCGGCTGGCGCGCGCGATGGCCACGGTGTCGCGCAGACGCGCGCGCGGCACGTCGCCCCGCAGCCACACCAGCCGCACCAGCTGCTCCTCCGACATGTCGGGGCACTTCGCCACCACGCTGTGCAGGTCCAGCGACAACATCTCCACGTCCTGGCACCGCAGTACCTACAAACCACATTACTCATTTTCAAGGCGCTCGCTTCTCGGTTCGAATTAGTTCGAAACCAGGCAAGTACCAATTTGACCTTCCGAGTCATAAGTAGGTACTTTTTTAGGTTATTTAGACACCACTGACAAACGGTGAAGGAAAACATCATAAGGAAACCTGGACTTCTAATCATAAGTTTGAAATCGCCAATTCGCCTTGAGCAAGCTAAGTGATTAATGCTTAAACCTTCTCCGTGTGAGAAGAGGCAGCAGTTGGAACTTATAAGCTGATGATGATGATATAAGGCAAAGGGCGTGCATGAGGAGACCCTCACTATCAAGCTTGCAGACAAAATATTTCCCTTCCATCTCTACAACCTTTGCAAAGGCCTAACTAAACTATTCATAAAATGAATGTTTTAATCGTATACACAAACTGATTTAAATAGAACATGGGATAGACCGGGTTAATTAAACGTAGTAATAAAAAAGATAAAATTCAAATTTGTACCAAGCAAAGTGTAGCTGTGCTGTAGGTACTTTAAATGTTTGCAGTGAACTAATTAAAATCGGACTAAACTGAATATTTCTTCCATATTTGTATATAAAATCTTACCTCTGCTAGCATGCTAATGACTTCAAAAGGCCAGTCCACATTAACACCCTCGGGTGCTATTTTCTTAAAGAACGATCTTATTTGGTTCGCCTCCTTGACTATTTTAGTAGCAGCTTGCTGAGCTTCCTCCACGTTTTTGAAAGCAACTTTTTTGGATAACATTGCTGTAATATACTTCTTATATACCAAGTTTTGAGCTTCGTTTATAACATACTCAAAATTCTTATCTCTCAAATGATTGTAGTCTTGGAAGTAGTCATCAAGTGTTATACATATAGTATCCACAGGGATGGTGGACGGCAACCATTTCGCTGTAAATAGGTCATCGAAGTGCACTTCCAGGTCAAGAAATGCTTCCTCCAGAAGAAATTGTGCGGCTTCATCTCTTAAATTCTAAAACAATCGAAAAACGTAGTTTTTTATTATAATACTTTATTAATAATTATTTAACATATGAACATTCAAGGATTTCATTTGCAGTATATAATGTAGGAAGGTCGTAGTACAGGTGTATAAAGTAATAAACGTCAATAGAAATAAATTCCCAGTTTAATGGAGGATTAGATATGTGGTCAATGAGGAACTATTTTTCTGTTATTATTGAATTACTAATAAAATAATTATATTATTTCCAAACCCAAGTTTTCTTGCAAGCCATCAAATGGAATGGAAATTGAATGTGCAAGTAAATAGGTATAATCTACCTGGAAGTAAGTGGAAAGCAACGGTACAAATGCGAATAGTTGTGACAACCTTGACACTATCAAGCAACCGTATATTTCTTAACCGCCGCTTCTATTTAGTATATAAAATCATTGAAACAGATGAATCAATATCATTCAGCAACAGTTTGTCTAACCAAACATGAGGAGAAGCCTGCTTGTGGCATTTGGCCTTTTGGCCATAGCTGCCGTCATCTCCGCCAGGGAGATTAGGGAGAAAAGAGACGCCGACTTGGAAGCCGCTGCTTCGCATGGCCATCACTGGGATAAGGGAGGCGGCCACGAGCACCATGGGCACCATCACCATGACCATGGTGGTAAACACCATAAAGGACACAAGGGCCACCACGAACACCACCACGGCAAGCACGGTCACAGCCACCACGAGGGACACAAGGGTCACCACGGGGAGCACGGCGGACACAAGAAGCACCACCACCATGACGAGGGCTACCATGACCACCATCACCACGGAGAGAAGGGCGAGCATGGACACGGACACGACGAGCATGGTCACTGGCACAAGGGACACGACACTAAAGGACACCACGGCATCGAGAAACACGACGAGTTCAAGAAGGACAAGCACTTCCATGACCACCATGGCGAGAAAGGCTACAAAGAACACCATGGCGGCCACCACCACGAAGGCGGTTACAAGAAGGGCGGCCACTTCCACCATGGACACAAGCACGGTGGACATCACGAACATGACCACGGCAAGAAGGGCCACCATGAGGAAGGCGGCCACCACCACCACCACAAGGGACACCACGGCGAGGGCGGCCACCACGAGCACTGGCACGGCCACCACGACCACGGCAAGAAGGGAGGCCACGAGCACCACAAGAGCTGGGGACACAAGAAGGGCCACTAATCTGTTGCTCAATGTACCTGCACTGATATTTGTTGATCTTATGTTATATACGAGTGTTTTTGTTATGTTCTTAACCAAAGAATAAGATTTTGTATAAAGTATGTTTTGAATTTTTATTTTGTACGTTTTCATTTTCTAAGAGAAAGTTGAATTGGAAATGATTTCACAAAATTTAAGAGTTATTTATATTACTGAAGTAAAATCTGGTTAGTGATTGATTTTATTAGGTTTTTGTAGCGTAGTAAATATAAGTAACAGTATTGTTAAGTGTTTTTTGCAGTAGCCGTCGCTATACGACGACCTTGGTCGGAGCGATGAGTTATTTACAAATGAAAATCTCACCGCGACATAGAGGACATTGACTTATAATAATGTGACCATGAATTTAAAATTGAAAGTGTTTGTGAACCAATTCAGAAATGTATACTTAGTTATTGAGATACAGATTGATAGTTCTGTGGTAAAAGGGATTAATTAAAGTGCTGCTGTTCTGAACCACATGGTAAATAAAAACTAATTGTTCCTCTTGGATTGTTCCAGAGAAAAAAGGTCCTTCTACAGTTTGATGCGGTGATTGGGCAACAGGCTGCCGTGTATGTCGTGAACGAATCGCGGCATAAAAATTACAGGGCCGTGAACTTGTTCTTTTAAAAATTCTTAAATGTGTTTAGTTACCTGGAAAGTGTTAAGCATCTTATCGAACTTGGCCTCAGCGGGCGGGTCGTGTCGGCCGGCCGGCCAATGCCGCGCCTGCGTCTGCTGCGCCAGCCGCACCATCTGCTCGCTGTTGTTCACGATCGTGATCATGTGGTGAGTAAAGTACGCCACGCGCGATCGATCAGCAAAATGGGCGTTCTATTACGATAAATAAATATTATAATATTTATTTAAGTCAGATCACATAGACTTATAAGTCTATGTGATCTGACTTAAAAGTGAATAAAGTGATTATTCTTCTGCAAAGAAAGTGTGCCTCACAAAAATTAAGAGGTAAAAAAATACCTTGAATTGTATAACTCCATCTCTGTACATATTCCCATAGCGTGTAACTTGATCAATACTAAGGAGCAACGCCTTAAACGTTATTTCCTTGCTTATAGTTTCAGTGACCTGTAAAAAAGTTATAAGTCAAGGACAGGCAATAAGTATGGAAAGTTTTTGTTTTTTATTATTAAATTATTTTCCTATTTTAAATTTCAGAATAATAAATTAAAGTTAAAAAAATGTTTGCATAAACACGGTGAAATAACAAAATTAGTTAAGATTTTTATTGTAAAATATTTCAAAAACCTATCGAGATGAAAATAATTTTCCGAGAAAGAATGTTTGAAGTTCTACTTCCACGATTTTTTCCATACTTTCTAACCTTGGTGTTCAAATGTAAATGTAATGTACTTTACAGTGTATCACACCATAAATGAAAAAAAAAACACTCCCTAGGTACTTTACGGGTAGGAGGGGTACCCTAAAAAAATATTTTGTCCACTTTTTGGCGTAAATATAAGGGTTCCTAGTTTACTACGGAACTCAAAAAAGTAGTGTTATTAGGTGTAGGTAACGTAATCGCAGGTCCGCGATCGGCGGGCAAGGGTAGCTAGCTGCCCGAGCTGAACCAGACCCTGCTTAAGACCCAATAGACCGCCACAGATAGGGCCAAACAAGGTCGAGTTTAGCCAGGGTTACGCGTCTCAGGGGGTCGGCACTGTAAATTTGTCACAAGACACAAATCGTTCAGTACTTATTTAATTTAGTTGATGTACTAAAATGATTACAGCATCGGGATATTGCTAGTGATGGACTAGATATGTCCATTTTAATTTCTTAATTTGATATGAAAATAAAATTGTGTCTTGCCTGCAAGTTCTGATCAATCATTTGGAAGATGATGACAGGCGCGTGTGTGTGGTACGCAGTAGAATGCGATTCCACTTCAGGCGCGCGTTGACCCGCCCACTCTGCTCGCTCCGATTCCAAAGTCTTTTCCATCCATTCCATGTAGTTTGATTCCATTTTCTATATGTAAATCGAATATATTGTATACTGTATCTAACATTGTATAGGTAATTACGCCTTATTATTGATAGTAACTGACCTGTAAGTATTCATCTTGTAACTTTTGCATTGTTTCTTTACTAAGTAAAGGTGGTAAAGTTGATACATCAATATTTAACTCTGAACTGCCCATCAATTCATTTCCGGGGTATGTATTTAATACCCAGGATAAAAGTGTAACATATTCGTTGCCTTCTATACCACCTGTAACTACGTCTTGAAGCTGTAAAAAGAATTTGAGACCCATGATTACAAAAGATTAAGTCATTACGCATAATTTTGACTACAAATAATCTAATGTCAAAACTACTGTAATTGAACATCTAATAGGTACTTACACTTGCAGATAAACAAATGTGATACATGTTGACATACTTGTTCACAATATCATAATGTGGTGGGAAGCAAGGTACACATAATGTTTTGACAACCCGCAAATCTTCCAATATGAGTTGTCTAGTTAGTTCAAGGTATCGAACCAACCACAGTTTGTTATTCTCACGCTCGTCGACGCGTGTGCCTTCTATACGCTGTGCTACTGCACATTCTAAAACTTCGAACGCTTTGGCACGCCAGTTTTTAGGGCGGCCTGGTGGCATAAATCCGGTTTGGCTTTGTTGCTGAAAATATTTATAAAAATTATACATACAACAAACTCGCCATGAAATTATTGACTAACAGTTCTAAATACAGGTTACTCAATTTGTTTATTGGTTAGTGGTGAATGACACATAACTTGGGTATGCCCAAGAAAATGCCTGAAAGAATATTGGTCTATAAAAAACCAAACCTTATAAAAAAATTATCTGCCGTTAACACTAAAAACGAAACTCAAGGATGTATGTCAGTATTGTCCTCATCCGAAGACATTAGAAATCCACACTCAGAGATTGTCAGTGAGGCATGAAGCATAGTATTAGTATCTTAGGAGTCCGATAATATTTTCGGAAAGAGTAAGAAACACCACATAGTAAACCGACATTGATGGTAAGGAACTCGCAAGCTTGAGGTGAAACTGGGCTGACCTACATCTACCATATGCTGATGAGTGGTGGGAAAAATTCACTAGGTACTAAGTGAAGCCCCCTCAATATCAGTAGATGTTTGGTCTCTATCAAGGATTGGTCACAAAACCCTTGCACAAAGATAAATGGGAGGAGGGTAGGGTAGCTTTCCACTGAAGAGGGATGATCATGGTTAAATTTAAAAAATAAAAATTTAGAATTATGTTAGGTGTTATAAATAAATTTCTAACTTGTAATGCCATCTGGTCTCTTTTTTCTTCTCTCTCTATAATTCTCAAGGCTGTAACAATAACGGTGGGTTCTTTACGAACAGTATTCAAAGTTCTTGCTAAAATAAGTTTTATCTGCTTTTCAAGTAAATTTGAAACCATTTCAACATCTTCAAAATATGCTTTTAACATTATTTTATCATGTGATGATTGGTTAGGTAATCTATGCAGCTCATATAGTAGATCATCTCTGGAGTTTTCTAAATCATTTAAACACTGCAAATAAAAAGATTTATAAAGATTTCATAAACATAACTTATGCCACTTAAATATACAGAAATCACATATATATCAAAATATGAAAAGTCTTTTTACTTGATGAGCATGTAGAAGTTTGCCTTCTCCTATCCATTGTTTAGTTTTAGCCACACTTTCTGGCACAGTGAATATGTGTTTGAGGCTGTCCATGGCAGTGACATACTGTGAATGACGAGAATCTTCCTCTCTGACTGCTTGTAGGGATGCCACAAGGGGTGGCACACTCTTTAAAAGTTCTTCCAGTTCATCCATTCTATAGAAAAAAAAAATTGCATTTACCGGTATTTTTAACAGAAATAGCCTCTACTAGCAGAACAAGTAAGTAACAGTTTTCCAATATATATCTTATCACAATACCCATCTACCATTAGTGCAACAACGAAACTACAAGGCAAGCAAACTAAATGAGCTTATAGTTTTTAATATCTCTTTACTTCTCTTCTTTCATAAATATAGGATCATATATTGAATTCCAAAATTATTAAGAGTTATGGGCTAAAAAAAATAAGGATTTAGAATATGAAATATATGAAATACTTACTTCAGACTCACTTGTTGCACATCTTCTAAACACTCCTGCAATTGTTTCAAACCAACACTTACTCCGTCCAGCTTGCCTTGCACTGCTGATTTTAATTGAGCTTCTATTGATGCCTTCTTGTGAGTTATTCTTTTCTTATAATGTTCCACCTTTAATTTCAGAGGTTTAAATGGGATCCAGTCAATCAATAATAGGGTATAGTTAATAAAATACTTATCTAACATACAATGCAAATTTAAGAGCATAATAAACATTTTTCGACTTTTAATGGGTGTTGCTGCTGTTCTATGTTTGATAAAACAATGATATTATTTTAATAAAACAGATTCTTCTTCTTATCCACTAAACGCCCACTTTTTACGGTAATATCATTTGACAGGGTCCAAAAGGACAGGCGAAACGCAAATGTAAAGGACAAATAATATCTACAAAATATAAAGGATAAATTAACAGTGATACTCGTAATATTGAACTTCTTTCCTTACCTTTTCTAGCTGCCCCGGTCTCTGCATCATATTCATTACCATTTTTTCGGCTGCTGCTTTTGCCTCATCTTCTATTTCGTCCATGGTGCTCATTTTGTAGTAATTTATAAATATCTATTGCTAATTAAAGACCAAATAACTAATTATTGTAGAATATATAGTTATTTTAATCACTTCTGCAACTTGTGTTATGATATTATTATTATGATTATGAAACGAGTTTATTTTTAATAAACTTGATTTGATAGGTCCTAGGTACCCGATGTGGCATTGACTATTGCATTTGACGTAAAACGTAATTGACACTGACGGTAAATAGAAATGTTCGTTTGTAGAACTTTTTTATTATTATTGAAAAGGAGGCAAAGGAGCACACTTTATTTCGCCTGTGCTTTAAACGTCATATGAAATGTCAAATTGATGACTAAAACGTCAACATAAGTAGGTACCGTCAAGTTTAACTTGACGTGTGTGTTATCGTGTTATTTACTTTAAAAAACACGAAAATCCATGAACCATTGCCCAATGATATTTTTCTAATATAACCTGGAAGATGTGGGAAATTATAATTCTTTCAATACTATCGGTGATCGCCTTCCTTATCACAGATGAATTAATACCTAATCTTACAGACTTGTTTGTTAAAGCCGGTCTGTTTGGAATAGATTTATGTAAAACTAGTAAGAAGAAAATGTAAGTTTTTAACTTATATTTATAATGCCTTGTTTGGCTCGATTAAAATGTATATATGTTTAGGTGCAGTTTGATTACATGAAGGAAAAGGCTTACCTGTTGTAAACTTCTTCAGTTAATAACATGTATATGTTTTTTTATTTTTAGCCCAGAAGCTATAGGTGTTGTATCTGGTTGTGTGTTTTTAATAACAAGTTTTCTATTTATTCCCGTTGTTTTTGGCAATGGCTTGATGGACACACAACACTTTCCTCACAATGAAGTAAGTGGTTCTCTATCCAAGAGGATATAGAGGTATTATCTCAATGTAATTAGATAAGATATAATTTATTAACACTAGCACATGCATTTTATCCATAATAGTAATATTTTCCCCCTATGATGCATTTTGTATAATATTACTTGTTTACTTTACAGTTTGCTGAAGTACTGGCTGGATTGTTGTCTATCTGTTGTATGCTGCTCCTTGGGTTTGCAGATGATGTTTTAGACTTAAGATGGAGATACAAACTGTTGCTTCCAACAGTGGCATCACTACCTTTGCTTGTAGTGTATTATGTCAATTTCAACTCTACCACTTTTGTGGTTCCCATTCCATTGAGGCAATGGTTGGGAGTTTCCATCAATATAGGTATGATTGTTTAGAAGGAATTATTTGCTAAGTTGTACTTTTTTTTGTTGACTTCTCACTAACACAACACATCCTTTTTTTAGGTGTGCTCTATTATGTCTACATGGGAATGTTAGCTGTTTTCTGTACAAATGCTATAAACATACTGGCTGGAGTCAATGGGCTTGAAGTTGGGCAATCAGTTGTTATAGCATTATCAATAATTCTTTTTGATATAATTGAACTGCGAGGAGATCAGTATAAAGCCCACACATTTTCTTTACATATAATGATCCCTTATCTGGCTACAACATTAGCACTGCTAAAGCATAATTGGTAAGTTTTTTTAAGAAATATTGTTTAATATTTGTATAGGTTGACAACAGGTTACAATATTTTCAGTTTCTAGAAGCTCTATATGTTTGTCATTCTTCATCATCAGCCTAAAAGTGCCCTCTGCTAAGCAAGGCCTCTTTTCACATGGAGAAAGTTTGAGCATTAAACACCACACTTGCTCAAGGCAGATTGGCAATTTCAAACTTATGCTTACTTTACAATGTTTTTCTTTACTATATGTCAGTGGGGTCTAAACAATCTTAGAAAGTACACAGCGCTTTGAAAATTTGTCAGTGGTTCCTGCCAGGTTTTGTACCTGCACCCTTATACATGAGAAGTGGCCTTAACCTCCATGCCAGCCCATCATACTTGCCATATTTGTGGGTGTTTAATATGACTGCATTAATTCTACGTGTTTAAGATTTCTTTTTGTATAAAAATTCAAACATATTTTTTTATTTTTAGGTATCCTTCCAAGGTGTTTGTGGGAGATACATTTTGCTATGTTTCTGGAATGACATTTGCAGTTGTAGCTATTTTAAGTCACTTTAGTAAGACTGTTTTACTGTTTTTTTTGCCACAAATTATAAACTTTTTGTATTCAGTGCCTCAACTATTCCATATTATTCCATGCCCAAGACATCGTTTGCCGAAATATAGTGAAGAGACAGATTTACTTCATGCAAGCAGAACAATAATAGTAAAGAAAGAAATGACTGCACTAACTAAATTAATACTTCGGGTCTTAACTTTATTACATCTAATTGATAAGATTGAAGACAAAGAAAGTATAACTATTAACAATATGACCCTTATTAATTTATTTTTAATAAAATTAGGGCCTACACCTGAAGTACAATTAACCAAAAACCTCATGATGTTTCAAGGTTTTTGTACATGTTTAGCTTTCATTATAAGATATCCATTAGCATCATATTTTTATAACAGTTAACTCAAGTTGATCAATACATACATGACATGTGACCATTGTTCGTATAATTTGACTGATACAGCTATACTTCGGCTTGGTATGGGGCGCGGCGAAACGGGAGCACTGGCTGTTTGAACAATCCATTACAAATATCAACCTAATTCTCTTTTCTTACCGGCCCCACCTCCCTGCGCCTTCCTAGGGTGTGATAAGCTAATTCTGGTCTAATTATTATAAACCTAACTAATCGATTCATTCATTATTTTTACAGTGTTCAGTTTTAAAGTATGGTTATATTGCTACTGGCAAATAAGAGCTTTTGAAAATTCATATCTCCTGATCAATATGAGACATTTTTTAAATCTTCTAAAGAGTATGTATATCGTATAGGGCACATTGGTTTAGGTAGATAAAGTACCTAGCTCATTATATTTCCTTAGTACCTAGCTCATTATATTTCCTTTATGAGTTTTAACTTATTCATTAGGGTATATTGTACGTAGGTACTGTTATTGCAAATCCATGGACGCCGAGAATAACAGGGTCATGGAGTATTTACATGTTTCTGATAATCAGGCAATAATAATTAAATCGGAAAATTGTAATTACTTAACATTTTATTTTAGTATTTTTTATGTAACAGGTTAGCCAAAGATAAAAATGAATGTGATACAAATTAATAAGTTTTCACAATGTTAACAATCTAAGTACCAACATTACTTATTCAACTCATTCATTGCTCTTTGTCTAAGATTGATTCATTATATACTTAGATATATTTAGTCTTATTTAGTTCCTTATAATAGTAATGGCTGTTAATATTTTTATATGTTGTTTATTAAATGTATACAATAAATAAGAATAACAAAATCACGTTTTTTATTTTCGGCAAAATCAACAATAATAATAATTTTTGTTCATCACAAATTTAATCAATGATAGGTACTTAGGTACATAATCAATAATGAAGTTCGCATTTGCAAAAGTATTATTTTATAAATTTAAATTTAAGAGAGTACGATAGCAATTGTAAAGTAGAGGATTCTTTGTTATGGTACTTATACCAAAAGTATTTGTGTAAAATCTTGAGAAAAATTAATTGGCTTATAAGTTCCACAGGCACACTCCTTGTCTGGGTAGTGTTTGTTCAGCTTTATAATCTGCACCTACCTACCTTTGGTATGTTGGCGAGTATAACTTCTTTGTCTTGCATTGCTTGATCATAACATTTTAATAATCACGTAATTATTGTTAGGTATTAATGATTGTTAGACAAATTATTAATGTATGACAATAAGACTAAGAGTTTGGCTATTACCATTAATTGCCTAAAACATTTGTATAAAATTAAGTAGGTAAAATAAGTTTTTAACAAACAATTTTCACTAATTTTGGAGATTCTTACCGCGCGGTTAGTAAGATCACCATATTTCACCCAGATATTATAATATCCAACAGGATGACATTATAATATGTATAAATGAATTCAAGCACATGCAATTTGTGATGTTTCTTTATTAACAACTGGAATACATACAGCAACCATCTACAATTTTCTCAACAAGCATCTGACCAGTATTTAAATAGTGTTTCGAAATTATAAATTCTTAGGGATATCCTGCTTAAACTACAGTTTAAATTAATAATAAGAATATTATAAGTACATTTATCATTTAAACTTATATGTTTATTTACACAATACATAAATACATCAATTCCATAATCATATTAGTATTAAATTTTATAAAGATGTTTCCTTTGGTCTTTACCAAGTTACTTTTGTTCCAGAGCTACAAACATTGTAAATTTTTAAAACTATAAATATGGTTGAAATGATAAAGTACTTTAAAAATAAATGGCTACAGAATATTTATATTATCTGAACTTAATTTAACCATATATCATACAATATATTGTCCTCTGCATCATTGTCATTTATGACCCGTAATGTTTTGAGGGTTTGTAAGTAGAAAGTTAATTCTGATGTAACCACACCATGCTGAGGACTTCCATTTGCTACAATATTCATCTTCACTAATTGTTCTCTAAGCTTGTCTTTGAAATTATCATGTACTCTTTTATAAATGGTTCGTATTTGTTCATTGGGAAATATATCAATAAGTGCTTCATGTAACTTAACTAAATGTTTCGAAATATTTCGGAATGTTTGAGATGGAACTGGTGGTTTGGCATCCCACCCATTCAGTTGAGATGCAAGCATATTACTTACTATGAGACAAATCTTATTTTCTATTTCTTGCTTATGGCTGACTATATCACTCTCTATATTACTAAAACCATTAAGTGATATATCTTTAGAGTGCTGTTTCTCTAGCAACCCTCTTATTTTGGGTAAAAACCACATGACAACCTGTAGGGATCTAGAAACCAAAGCAAGATTGGATGTAGAGATAGTTTTTAGACCAGCACTTTGTATTGCTCCAGCACCTAAAACTAATTGGCAGCACCGAGAATTGAATAACCGGATCAATTCTAACATGCAGTGAACCAAATACTGAACAATGACAGGAGATTGTTTAGTTGCATCACAATATTCCAGTAATATTTTTATCAATAGTTGTACTGTTGCTACAACAGCATAACTTTCCTTATTAATTAACAAATATTTTCCATCAGGTTTGCCACTGTCATACTGTACAGTACTTGGTATTTCTCCTGATTCATGAATAATATTTATTGCACTCTGTAACTCACTAGGTACATCTGCAGCTTTCCATCTCTCTGTATTTAGAGCATTAGTCAGTTGAGTTCTTCTTTCAGCATGTAAACATTGTATATACTTCATAGCATAGCTTCTTAGAGCTAGCTTCATTGCATTACTAGAATGTCCAGTAATTTCTTCACATTGATCACAAAAGCTTTCAATGAGTTTAGATAAGGTTGATAACTGAGACATATCAGAAAAAACATAATCTTTGTCAGTTTTGGTTACTATTAGATTAGCACATCTTTCATTGCAATAATCAGAGAGGGATCCTATCATTTTTTTTAACTTTTCTTCCACCACACCTAGTTCCTCAGGTGACCACACATCTTCACTATCATTTCCAGTAACATCATCCATTTGAGTAATTTCCAATATCAAGTGGTGTAAGGCCAATATTCTTTTGAATAAAATTATTAAATTTGGAGTAACTTTTTCCAGAAATGTTATACCTTCATTACACAACAGCCACATGTTGTCTGCATTAGATCCCCTTAAAACAATTTCTGTATTTCCATCTCTTTCAGAAATGATTTCTATAACAGATTGTTTGATAGTAGCTTGAATAGACGTCATTGCTTCTATTTTAAAAGTATCTATGAAATCTAATTCCTTTAGGCGAAGGATTCCAGAAACTATTGATACAACTTTTTCTCTTTCTGGTATTTCTGTGTCATCCTTTGGATGTCTATTTAAGTCTGTTACAATGAATCTTAAAAACTCATTGCTTAACATTTTATGTATTAATCTTTTCATTTCAGTCAGTTGTGGAGATAAATGACGAAATGCTTGTATTCCTGACAGGCGTGTTGATAACACCTTTTGGGTGGAACTGATCAAGTCTAAGGCTGCTACATAATCTGAGGTGCTCAAGAGAAGCTGTATCATTGGTTGAGTTTGCTGTACAGTTCCCATCAACTTTAAAAGGTCATGGACATTGTTCAAGTTATGATTTATTCTTGTCAAACTTGCTAATTTCAGAGGACATTCTGTTAAATTGCCCTTAACATGGGTTATGTTTTGTCTTGTTTTTCTCACAGTATTCACAGCTCTTGCCATCTGCTCCATTATTGTGTCATGAGATAACATTGCATGAAAAAATGCATCAGACTTTTGAGCTACTTGCTTAGAGATTTTCATTTCAATAACATCTAGGTATGTACTTAGTGTTTCCTGAAGAGATCTAATTGCAATGCTAGGTTCTTCAGAACCACATAGACTAGGAAATACTTGGCTAAATACTTCTGGATTATTTAATGGTAGTGATTGTTCATAGAATATATTAGGCACCTCACAAACATTTTCAACCACAGGTGTTTTATTTTTTACGGGAACATTTTCTTTCAGTCTGCAATGACGTCTATATTTTTTAGCAACTCTTTTGCAATATGATTCAAAGTGTGCTAAAGTAATTTCAGGTAGATATGGACTAGGGTATATATCAACCTTTTCAACGAAACTATCGCCCCATGTTTTAGTAAAAAAATTACTTTGTTTACCTCTATTTGGATCATTTAATACTGCTGGAAGATTTTGTGAGGAAGAATAGAAGGTCCAGTCGTCATTAGAGTCCTTTATGTACAAATGGTATTCCCTTACGTGGTACTTAAATCCTGCTTTCCGCAAATCACCGAACTGCAGAGAGGAACACATACCATTTTGGCCATACTGACACAATATAATAGATCCCTCTTTAATGCTGTGCTTATCTTGTATATGCCTGAAATTAAAAACATGGAATATAAAAATATGGTATAAATATGAGCATATCGTTAGTAAAGAGAATAATATAATTAAATAACCTTTCAAATTCCGTGGCAGAAGTGAAAAGAAGTCGAGGACAGTGAACACAGTTTTGCCATGTTGGCTTTTTACAAGTTGTAGAGTTGTCCTCCATACCATCTTTGTCTTATAAAACAGTAACAGTTAATTATATTTGCGAAGGAATTAACATTGACTTAGACTTATTAAATCCTGTAAATCCACCCAATAATTTCATGACATGGTAAATAAAAGTGACAGAATAGACAATTAGACAGACATACAGCTTGCATTGACATATGGTTGACAGATCAGCAGACGTAGGTAAGAGATTTTTTTTGGAATTTATGGCCTGGATACAAGTCTTTTAAGCCAACGTAGGTAAGAGAGAAGTTTAGTAAGGGTTACCAATTGAAAGTTGTTGATTTACGTTTTTTTACATATCGTTACATATTATTTCGTGTTTGATTCGATAGACGGGCTTTCCAAGCAGTACCACCACCATACCAGCTACACTTTAGCAAGTTATTGTTAATTTTGATGTCTTACCACAGCGAAAAACCAAAGACTTTCTTATTGTGCCCTATTCTGCTTTCTTTTAGAACACAGTAAAAATACACATACAGCAAATTCTTATTCAAATCTCATAGATGAAACATTTTTCAATGTTTTGAAATGACAACCCTTTTGATGCAGTGACGGTACGCTAACAAAACAATTAATGTGAGGTAAGTAAGTGCGAAGGAGTTTAACATTGAATACCCGTGTAAGATAGGGGCGGGCCACTAGTCAAATACTTAAAACTTACACAACATATCAGCTTCCAAATAATTACTGTTTTAATAACTGCTCGTCTCACCTAGTCCGAGAGTCCTAACAGGTATTTAAGTGTTAAGTACATGGCACACAAAAGTATTTGTAATTGAAATAGCAGACTGCCTTGGGGTGTCAGTTTTAGGGCCTCAGCTTTAGGACCAGTGCTGCAGTATTTTTCTTTCCTTTTACGGGACTACAGGGTCCCGGACCTTTGGAAGGCGTACGAGGAGCCTAAGTCAACTCGCAGAGGCCCGTTGAACAGTTTTAATCTAAATGTGATGGGACATCAGCCGGCAGTTATCCCTGTATGCACTATATAAGTGCACCCAAGTACAATCCCCGGTTGATGCAGGACTATTGTAAAATGTGGTAAACATTGATGGGGTTATAGGTATGGGTTGCTATCGACTGGTGGATATGATAACTATGGAAATACTATGGCCCCTGCCCCTGACCAATATTGATACATACGGATAAACAGGCAGGGGGTAAACTCAATTAATGGGCCCCCGGAAACGGCCGCTAGCATATGTAGCGACAAGGGGGCAACATACGTTGAGCCTGCAGTATTATTATTATGCTTTTACATTTTTAAAATCCACTTTTGGAAGTTTTGAAATGTTTGTATCATATGAAAATGAGACTGTCCTATAACCCTTTTCGGAGGGTGTTATTAATTTTTACTGCTATTAAATGCCTGGACAGAGATATTCCTATAAATACATTTTTGAACTTGTGATGGTGGTTCGGTGCTGGGTGGATGCCGGGTAGCTCTAATGGGCTGTGATCTTTAGATTTCCTTTATTAATTTTCTTGGACACCCAGCCACAAACATGAAGCCATTGTTTAATTCAAAGTAATCAAAGCACAAGGGTATGTACCTTCAGAAAATAAGCATATAACATTTTACTAATTTGTAGATATTGGTTATTAAGATACTTACTTATCTATTTTATAAAAGCTAAATGATTTTTGACTTGAACCCGGAAAGTCTGTTTGCGATCTGTATATGGAGTAGGTAACAGATAAGGTCCAAGCCACGGTCCAAGCCATACACATGAAGAAAAAATGTAGGACATTTACTTTATGATACCTTTTTTTTTGTCAGGGGAAAATCATCTAATGACTTCTCCCGCCCAGGGTAACCCCGCAGCCCCGGCTGACTTTATGATACCTAATACGTAAATTTGTTGTGTGTGACCAGTTATTTCATCTGTATTTTATAGTTGTTTCTTAGTTTTTATATTGCTCAAAGTGAATTATATGTAAGTTATTGTAGGAACTAGGTAGGAGAGCCTAGTTGTCCTACGAGAAGGTTCTTCTTGTAAATGATACTCGTTGAGATGCGTGTTTCGGAATGATTTATTTCGCTAATATTTGCTACTTATATCTATATTTACAATTGTACATCAAAACCATATCGCGCGCCGTTAGGTATGTGTTGACCAATGGCGACGCGCCGGCGAGCGCGGGCCGCGCGGGGCGAGGGCCGCCGCTTTGGTCGCGGCGCCGCGCCGCCGCGATCTCTCGTTTGCATATAAAGGGTCGCGCGCCGAGAGCGCGACATTTCGCCGCGCGCCGTCGTCGAGTGCAGACTGTGTGAAGATTGAAGACGCGGCGGGTGCAGGTGCTCCGCCTCCGGCTCCGCTAGCGATGCTCGCAAATGACAAACCGCTTCTGTCGAAGCGACTACGCTCGGCACGGCGTAATACGCCGGGCCGAAATAATTGTTTCTGGCAGAGTCTAAAACGTTTACTGTCTTTTTCAAGACAATATTTATCGTTTCATGTTAACGCAGTCTAAAACGTTTTAAACTGTCTTTTTCAAGACAATTGTTATCATGTTTCTGTTGATAACGGAAAGTCTAAAAACGTTGGTATGTTGAAGGTATATGGTATCTGGTTTTGACGTATGGTAAGGTATTCGGTGGTGTCGGTAAGGTAAATATATAAGGTAAATTGGTACATGGTTTTGAGTATGGTATTGGTAGGTATGTAGTCGTGAGGTGCGGCTACAGTACTCCCCCCCGAGCGAAGCGTACTGGGGTCTTGATTATTCTGCCTGTTCGCGTTCTTCGTACATGGCTGTCGCTCGACGGAGGTTCACTAGGTTGATCCTGGGTAGTCGCTGGTGGAGTTGCACAGTGTTCTGAGTTATCGTTGTTAATGACGTAGGCCGGCTTTAGACGCTCGATTGACACGTTGGTGGTACCTCTAGGTGTTTCTATTGTAAAGTACTTGTCGTTTCTGTAGGTGACTAGGTACGGGCCTTTGTATGGACGTTGCAGTGGTTTGCGAACTGCGTCGTCACGTACGAATACGTGGCTGCATGTTTGCAGGTCTTTATGCACGAAAATACTCAGTCGGTTAGTGTGCGACTGATAAGCGGGCGTTAAGCTTGTGATAACACGATGCAAGTCGGCTACGTAGTCGTTATCCATTTTCGTGTTGTTAGGCGACGGCGATATAAAATCGCCTGGCAATCGTATTGCTTGTCCGTAGGTAAGTTGTGCGGCGCTAGTGTTAGTGTCGGTGCGCGTGGCGGCTCGTAGTCCTAGTAGCACGGTAGGTAACTCGATCAACCATTTGTTGTTGTCGGCTAGTCGAGTCATGAGCGCGGCTTTTAATGTACGATGCCAGCGTTCTACGATCCCGTTACTCTGCGGGTGGTAGGCAGTAGTACGAGTTCGTTCCACTCCCAGTAGCTGAGCGAGATTTTTAAATAAGCTGCTCTCAAACTGTCGTCCTTGATCGGTTGTAATTTTGATAGGACAACCAAAACGCGTTATCCATGCTTCGTACAGCTTTCTTGCGACGACTTCGGCTGATATCTCTCGCAGGGGAACGGCTTCAGCCCAGCGGGTGCAGCGGTCGATCATAGTGAGTAGGTATCGATGTCCGCTCGAGGATGTAGGCAGCGGTCCAACGATATCAATGTGTATGTGCTCGAATCGCTCGCTAGGTGGGAATGATGTGACGTCACTGTGCGTATGTCGATGTACCTTTGGTTGTTGACACTCGATGCATGTCTTTGCCCACTCGCCAATGTCGGTATTCATAGACGGCCAGAAGTATCGTTGTTGCATTAGCTTGCGTGTAGTACGTATGCCAGGATGACTTGTATTGTGCACGGCGTTGAATGCGATGCGACGATAGTCAATCGGTAGGTACGGGCGAACGTGAGGCGTCGATACTTCGCAGTAAATAAACTTGTTTGAAGTAGGTATGGATATTTTCTTAAGCTGAATGTTTGTTTGTTTTATTAAGTTGGGAATATTGCTGTCCTTTTCTTGTGCTTGGGATAGTTCGTCGTAGTTAATTGGGGATGGTAAGTCGATAGTTTCGACGCGTGATAGTGCGTCGGCGACTATGTTGTTCGCGCCGCTCACGTGACGTAGGTCGGTTGTAACTCGCTAATGAATAATAGCTGACGAGTGAGTCGTTGCTGTGTCGTTGTCCGACGGCGGCTTACGTATTGCATAGGTGAGCGGCTTGTGATCCGTGTATACAATGAGTTCTCTTCCTTCGAACATTTTTCTGAAGTGTTTGATCGCCATGTATATGGATAGTAATTCGCGGTCAAACGTACTATATCGTTGTTGAGCTTCAGAGAATTTCTTTGAAAAGTAGCCAAGGGGAACCCACTTGTTGTTAATGTATTGTTGTAGGACAGCTCCTGCACAGGTGTTTGAAGCGTCACACATGAGTGAAATAGGTTGAGTTGGTGACGGCGATGGGTGAGCGAGTAAAGCTGCGTTTTGAATGCTAGCTTTACACAACTCGAATGCTTGTAGTGCTTCGTTATTCCATTCGATTTTGGTTTTGTCGCGTTTCTTTGAGTTATGTAGAAATGCGTTTAGCGGTGCTTGTATGTGGGCTGCGTTATGTATGCTGTCACGGTAAAAGTTTACCATGCCAAGAAAACGACGTAGGTCCGCTATTGTTTCCGGTTTGGGGTAAGCAGAGATAGCGCTGACCTTTTCAAGTGGAGGTTTGATTCCTTCGCTCGACACTTGATATCCCAGGAACTTTACGTTTTCTTGGCCGAAGACACATTTAGATGGGTTGATGGTGATACCGTAATCATTTAATCTTCGAAGCACTTCTTGTAGGTCTTCGATGTGACGTGCTTTGTTCTCTGATGCGATGATTACGTCATCAATAAACGGAAATGCGAAGTCTAAATTGTTTAGTACTTGGTGTATGAACCGTTGGAATGTTTGTCCCGCGTTTTTTAAGCCGGGACACATTCGGGGAAACTCAAACAAACCAAACGGGGTTGTGATGGCTGTTTTCTCTATGTCAGGTTCGTAGACAGGTAACTGTTGATATGCACGATTCAAATCGAGAGTGGTAAAAATCTTCTTGCCGTGGAGTAGGTATGTGAAATCTTTAAGGCGAGGTACCGGGTAGCGGTCGGGCTTAGTGACGTCATTAAGTCGTCGGTAATCACCGCATACACGTATGTCACCAT